CAGGTCTCCCGCATTGCAGCCAGATTCTTTACCAGCTGAGCCACAAGGGACGCCCAAGGATACTTGAGTGGGTAGCCTATCCCTTCTCCAGCGGATCTTCTCGACCCAGGAATCGAACTGGGGCCTCCTGCATTGCAGACGGATTCTTTACCAACTGAACTATGAGGGAAGCCCGAAAGCCACCCGAAAACAACTCTAAACCATGGATCAAGCTGTGTGCAATTCTGTTTGGAGAAGTGTTGGGAGGATGAACTCAGAGTTCATGTTTGACCATCTGCAGAAGCCTCGCTCACCATGGTAATAGGGTTGTTGTCCATTCACTGAGCATTTCCCTGGCAGATGCTAAGTCCTGACATGGATGATCCCATCATTCTTCAACAGCCCTATGGAACAGGTCCTTAGTGGTCCCATGTTACAGATAAGAAACTAAAGCTCAGACAGCTGAAGCAACTTGCCCACGGAATTTAATGAGTGGCAGGGTGCGAATCTGAATCCATTCATCTGACCACACAGGCCTCTTATCCTGTATGGTATACCACCTCTTTACCTAAAGAAGAATCCTTATCTGAACTTTGCAAGAGAAAATCTAGTTGCAGAAAAGCACCAGGAGGCTGCTCTGAGGAAGATTAGAGAATGGAGGAAGCAGCATTTGCAAAGGCTCTAGAAGTCTGACAAGGCAGAGGCAAGCAAAATGTTGGTCAAGACCAGATGCTCAGCCTTCTAGGGACTCACAGATGTGAACAAAAGGGAAATGGGGCTCCTGGGTGGGCCCAGTGTTCAGTGTGTTTGTGAGGGGAGAAAGGGACTGAAGGCTAATCATTGAGAAGCCCCTCGGGCTGGATGGTTGACAGTTTGTATAACTTTTGATAACAAACAGAACCAAGCTGACGTAAATCACAGAGGAGCCTAAGGCAGAGTGGTGATGTCCTCTTCCATCAAGAAGACCGTTGACTCCCACAGAGGAGATGAGGACCACGTGGTACACGAGGTGAGAACTTAAGGGAGAGAAACACCCCACCCCAACCTCCACCCCCACAACGAAAGCTCCAACGGGGAGAAGCGTGGAAGTACCTGAAGGGAGTCCCTGTAACAGTGAAGATGCTCCACCTTGGACCTGACCGTTCAGATTTAATCCACTCTAACCCAGCCACTCTCCTTGCTGTCCGCCATCAGAGAGGTTTAGAGCTAGAAGGAATCTCAAGTAACACTTACTCACCATCCCCACCACCCACCCACCACCATAACCACTGCCAGCTATCCTGAACACTCCCCCCCACACTGTGTCAGGATGTAACTGGACTCAGCCCAGATGGACTTCTGTCCAGAACCACGAAGAAAAGAAGTCCACATGACTCCTCTGATCGTCAGCTCTGATGTTAACATCATCTATGACAATCAGGCTCTTTCAGTGTGGTGGTTTAAACTATTTTTTTCTAATTTGCTGGACATAGAGGACACATTTCACCTTAAATCCATAGTTCAACATGCTTTTATAAGATATTCTCCAATTGTCAAAAGTGGTTCTCTCTGGGACATGGGATGATGCACAGCCTCCTATTTCTCTTTCATTGAAATTGTTTTAACCCTGATGTATTATTTCTACTTCCCCTACCCCACCAATAAAAGAAGTGAAAGCTCCTCATGGAGCTTTATTTAATTGTCTCTTTTCTCCAGGCTAAATGTGCCTAGTTTCATCCAGAGGTCAATAATTCAGATCCCTGTGTGGCTCAGACAGATGATATAAAGGAATGAGAAAGAAGTCGTGGAAGGCCCAGCCTGCACACTTCCCCATGGGCACTCTCCTCCATCCTTTATTTCCTGGTTCTCCAAGCTTTCTAAATTAGGACGTAGAGCCTCAGAAGAGAGTATCTTTGGTTTTAGCCATCCAGCGACAGGCCTTTATTTGTTGTCTCAACAGCAGTCTCGGTCCCGTACCAACTGCTGGCCGGCACACAGGATTTACACCTGCAAAGATGATCAGTCCCTGAGTCCCAGGAGAGCCACGGAAGCCGAGCAAGCATCCCAAGGAAATGTGACTAGCAGGCCTCACTCTGCGTTGGCTCGGGCGCCATGGCAACAGAGCACCCCATCCCGAGCAGATGGCACAGCAGACTGCCCGGTCACGTGGCGCCTGCTCTGGCAGACTGGCTACCTCCCCGAGCTGGCTCACTCTGTCCAGCTGGCACGGAGTCACACTGGTAACTATTTACATGAGTCAAAATCCACCCAGCGGCAGCAGATGGCCAGGTTGGGATGAGACATGGGGAGTAATGGGCTGGTTTGGGCTGAGTCAGAGGCAGGAGTAGCAGACAGCTCCTCTGTGGGCACTGACAAGTCTGAACATCGCTCCACATCACTCCTGCCACTGGCTGATCTCAGCGTGGCTAGAGGCTGGGAAAAGATCCCACGTGAACAAAGCAGATGATCACAGGCTGATCTTGAGATCCTGAGGTAGAATGGTGTTGGACAGGCCTGCCCCATTCCTGAGGGGCACCTGGTCACGCCTGGCCGTCCTCCGGGGCGCCTGATCATCTCTGGAGGAGGGCCCAACTGAAGAAGCCCGCCAGGGAGCCACGCCTGGCCAGTGGAAGGCATTCCAGGATACTGGTGTGGCTGCTCTGGAGAACAAACGAAAATTCCTTTAGAAACTAAAAACAGACTTACCATATGATCCTGCAATCCCATCCCTGGGCATATATTTGGGAAAAATGAAAACTCTAATTTGAAAAGACACATGCACCCCAATATTCATAGCAGCACTATTTACAATAGCCAAGACATAGAAGCAACTTAAGTGTGGACACTTAGAATAAAGAAGATGTGATATATATATATATATAGTTGTTGTTTAGATACTAAGTGGTGTCTGATCCTTTGCAATGCCATGACTGTAGCCTGTCAGGCTCCTCTGTCCATGGGATTTCCAAGGTAAGAATACAGGAATGGGTTGCCATTTCCTTCTCCATGGGATCTTCCTGACCCAGGGATCGAACCCACGTCTCCAGCTTTGGTAGATGGATTCTTTACCACTGAGCCACCAGGGAAGAGTAATTAGCAATATTACTCAGCCATAAAAAGAACATAATATTGCCATTTGCAGCACCATGAATGGACCTAGAGATTATCATACTAAGTGAAGTAAGTCAGACAGAGAAAGACAAATACTATATATCACTCATGTATAGAATTAAAAGTGCGATACAAATGAACTTATGTTCTTCTTTGAACTTTTGAACTTCTGTTACAAAACAGAGACAGACTCAGAGACATAGAAAACAAGCATGGTTAACAAAGGGAAAATGGGGGAGGGATAAATTAGGAGTATGGGTTTAGCAGATACACACTGCTAAGCATAAAATAGATAAACCATAAGGACCTACTATATAATTCAGGGAACTATATTCAATATCTTGTAATAATCTATAATGGGAAAGAATCTGAAAAAGAATATGTATGTATAACTGAATCACTTTTTTTTTTTCTGAGTCAAAGAATTTAATCACATCATTGTTCACAGCATTCCCTCTCCTTTTCATGTCTGTGGGGGAGACGTGGTCGGGGAGTCCCGAGGGGACGGCTGAGAACTGCCCACGGACAGCACAGCAGAATGGCCCCCATGACCAGGCAGCCCGTGGGCCCACAGAACACTGACCCCACGCCACCCAGCTCCCAAAGCCACACACGTGAATGGGCCAATCTGGGGTCTCTGAGTTCGAGGGAAATCAGAGGTCATGAGGATAGACTCGGGGAGAGCCATCACCAGGGGCGATCAAACCCTGGTCCTGCAGTCTGAGATCCCTGCTCAGCCTCAACTCCAGGGATCTACCCCAGGACACATCAGGTGGCCGCTGCAATAGGAGGGATAAGAGTCAGACCACCGGGAGGACCAGCAGAGATGGTTGCTGATTTCTGGATGTGTGTGCATATGTGCTCAGTCATGTCTATGCGACCCCATGGACTAGAGCATGCCAGGCTCCTCTGTCCATGGGGATTCTCCAGCCAAAAATACTGGAGTGGGTTGCTATTTCCTTCTCCACTGAATCACTTTTTGTTGTTGTTGCTGCATACCTGAGATAAACACAACATTGTAAATCAACTATACTTCAGTTTAAACAACCTTTTTTAAAAAGAGAAACCTTCCCATTACAAGGCAAGCAGCTCCAAAGCTCTAGATTTAAAATCTCAACCAGGATAAGTGAAGAGATCAGGAGCTCTGGTGTCTTTGTCATCTTTATCACTCACGTGGCCCAGGCTTGGTACACAACAGGCAATCAGGGGCATATGTTGGGGTGACTTGAAAGCATCTGTGACGCAAATCCAACAGAACAACCTTTGCCTGTGACTGGGTTTAGGGCATGTGTAATTTTTTAAGGCAGGATGTCAACTCTAGAACATTTTGTGAGCCATTCTGAGCGCCAAGAGCACCAGTGATATTCTGACGTCATTAGTCCAGGGTGATACTGGGTGTTTCATTTCCTGCTTTGGAATTCTTTCCGTCACAAGACCTCGGTGTCTCCCAGGCCCACAGCCAAAAAGTTGGAGCGAGAGTGAGACTCATGCACGCCCACAAGGACTGCAGCTCTCATCTGCCAAATGGAGAGTATGTGGACTTGAAGTGTTTTCTTCCTTCTCATCTCTCTCACCAGAAAGATATGCAGGGTACCAATCTGTAGCCACAGCATCAGTGATGGGGCGGCGGCCTTGAACCTCAGCATCAGCATCAGCACCAATAACCTGGAGGTCAAACTGGGGCAAAGGTTATCGAGCTGGGAGGCACGTGGTCTCCCTAAACACCTCTGGACATTAATACTGAGATTTCTAGAGAATCACTAGATGCAATGGGCTAGAGGAGTCATAAAATGATTGTCAGAAATGATTCTGTCTCCACGTTTATTTGGAACCTTAAAGAAAATGAAGAGAGACTGACTGCCCCACCAAAAGAAGTGCAGAATCACGACAGGCTTGGGAATTCTGGGTGGTGAAGGGATGGACTGCAAGGCTCAGCAACTTAGCCCGTAATCAAAGGCAGCAGGGTTATTCTGAAAATAGAGATTCAAGAAGCCTAGGAAGGTGTTCTTATCGGTGAGAAGAGAACAGACTGTGGGATCCTGCTTCATGGCTGCAATCCAGAGCCGGAGCGTGGGGGTGTGGTTCACACAGCTGCAGAAGAGGAGAGAAGCGTTAGCCATTCTGAAGGTGAAGGGGGACGCAAGTCACTTTTTGGACTACAAGCTACAAGAGATGGCTTTATTGGGGCAACAGAGCTATCTTAGTTACTCCTACCAACTGAGCACAGTCACTGACTGGAGGAAAATCTGATTCTTGAAATGGCCATGTGTCTTTAGAATCACCAAAGTTGTTGTTTTTAACACTGCAGTTAAAATACTTGTGGACTGAGTGCTCTGGGGAAATAAGGTGTCTGTTTTTCACTGTTTACCAACAAAAAGACACATTCTTCAGTCATTCTCAGATTTTACTTTTGGGGGATTGGAGAAAAAAAAGTTTCCAAAAGCACATTTTTAAAGAAATGAGTAAAATAATCATGAAACCTTGAAATAATGGAGCTGACTGGGCCCTTTCAGGGACTGATCAGGACGTGTAGGTCTCAGATCTGTAGTGACTTGCCCAGATGGTAAACTTGTTAATGGAAAATCCAGGAGGAGAGGGTTCCTAATGTGTGGTTCAAGCTCTGTCCCCAGAGGAGACAGGTTTTGACGAGGTTTATGTTCTGACATGGTTTAAAATATCCAAGTCTGTGACATCTGACCTGCCCTAAGTGAGGAGCTCATAAGATGAATCCTGGGTAAATTCAAACGTGTGCATTATAAAAGTCCAGATGCAGTTCCGCCTCGGCAGGACTGCATTTCCCAACACCAGAATGGTCTGGCACCCGCCATGTGACCGGCTGGTGTAAGAGCAGAGCCAGCACAAGTTTGAGTTCTCCTGTGAGTGTCGTGGGAACAAAGAACACGTCTGTCCGGGGCCCCTGTGTGGTCTCCCTGAGTCTACAGGGCAATTGCTTCTACTTCAAGCATCCCTACACTCGTGTGGTGTGTGGCTGACCATTTTGTTTATTATCTAACATCAAGCATACATTACTTTAAAAATCATTTGTTTTTTAAGGGTATGCCTATCTGGAGAAAGATTCCTCCGGTAACTAAGGTGCCCCGTAAGGGATGTGGGGTCCACCGGGGGACACAGCAGGACCATGCAGAGGGCCACCGAGGGAGCTGCAGACTAGCCACCAAAACCGTGTGACTGAGACCGTCCACCTGCTTCTGCATTCACCACCGGCTATGCCGGATGGGTGGTGAGGACAGCCAGCAGGCTCTGAAACACGAGGGAGGCTTCTGGATGCAGTCTTAGCAGCAGAAACATGGATAAAGTGTGTGTCTGCAGTTAGTGGCATAAGCGCACAGGTGCATTTTGAACAAGGAAGCACACAGTTTAAAACTCTACATTCCACATTCACGTGAAACATGTCCAGAGGAGGACAGATGGCACAGAGATCATTGGAAGCACTGCTACCCAGTGCGACCCTAGGAATCTATGACCATACAGCTTAATGTCTTACTCGGCTATTCCATATACATCCAGCCGCTCAAACCAGGGCCAAAAGAGGTAATCAATCATGGATATACAGTCTCCGCCAAAGAAGACGGTGTTCTGATAGCCAAGAATCTGGAAGTTTAAACAGAGCAAAAGCAAGTTAATTAACCCATCTGCTAATGTATTTATAGGCACTAAATACAAAAATCAAATTAATTCCCAAAGAAGGAGACCCAAGGCTTGGAGTCATCTTCCATTTGGTTAGGTGAATGCTTCTTCCCTTTTTCTGAGGTTTCCTCCAGCTCCTTTAGGGTCTGTTCTCCAGGCCACACTTAGCCCCGCCCTCCTTTCAACCCTGGTACCCCAGCGGCTCACCTGATTGGAGGATTTGGAAGAACAGCCCCACCTCTCTCAGGTCCCTCAGCCCCTGGAGAGGGGGCCCTGACTCTGACTAGCACTGCCCATTACTGGGAGGGAGGGGCCACATAAGAAACCTCACTTGTTGTGGTCATGCCCCCACCATTATCCAGGATCCAGTTTATCTGTAATAAAGGGGACACCATAGTCTCCATATGTCTTCCTCTTTAGCCTTATTTTTCAACCAATTCAAAACTAAGGCAAGGAAGAGCAGGGCTATCTGATGGGCTCTCTCAAATCCCAATACTGTATTTCTATCACATTTTCCTTTTTTATTTGAGCTTTCTGAACTTCATATGTGTTGGCCACTCAACATTATCAAATTTTTACACTAAAACAAAAGTTCTCATTCCCAAATGGGACAAATCAACACAGAAAGATGAACCATCACGAAAACAAACTCTTGACAGAGAGCTAGCCAAAGACAGGGGTGGCGGGGGAGTGGGGTTGGGGAGGTAACTTGAAAATTTAAAAAGCAATAGTACTTAGCAGAGGTTATTGTTAGGCCAGTTCTTCCCATTGAGAAAAGTATGATGCCAATTATCTAGTTAAGTCAAACAAAAGACTCTCTTTGACACACATAACTCATAATCAATTAAATACTACCCTGTAGCAAAAGATCCAGATCCCTATATCCTTTATCTAGATTCCTATATCCTTTATCTGGGCTTCCCAGGTGATGCTAGTGATAAAGAATCCACCTGCCAATGCAGGAGATGAAAGAGACCTGATTTTGATCCCTGAGTCAGGAAGATCCCTTGGAGTAGGGAATGGCAACCCACTTCAGTATTCCTCCCTGGAAAATTCTATGGACAGAGGAGCCTGGCATGCTGCAGTCCACAGGGCCACAAAGAGCTGGACACAACTGAGCAATTGAGCACATGTCCTTTACCTAGATTTCAAACTTCCTATCTCTCAGGCTTGATTCTTCATCCTTCAGGCCAGCTTGTTGCTTCTATGAGGTAGTCTAGGGATGGAGTTAAGAATGAACTCTGGGGCTAGCAGACCTGATCCTCACCTGGCCTCTCATTCAACATGAAACCCAGACAATTTACTCAGCTTCTCTTCCAAGCCTCAGTGCTCTCATTTGTATAACGGTGGTAATGTTAGTGCCCACCTTAGAGGTTATGGTAAGGAATGATGGAATCATGCACGAATAAATGTGACCTCTCATGATGAAAACTCACAGAGACCTCCAGAGGTTACATCTACAGAAAGCAAATCTTTCGCCATCACCCTTCTCAGAGGAGAAAGCAAATCTTGGTACCCTAAAGTCTATGTATTCATTATCTCCCAGCATGGCATAGGGGAGTTCCCCTGACTAACCTGAAATAATGTTAGGTGGCATCATTTTGTTTGAAGAAAGTGAAAGTGAAGTCGCTCAGTCGTGTCCGACTCTTTGCAACCCTATGGATTGTAGCCTACCAGGCTCTTCCATCCATGGGATTCTCCAGGCAAGAGTACTGGAGTGGGTTGCCATTTCCTTCTCCATTGTTTGAAGAAGAAGAAGAAGAAGAAGTGAAGTCGCTCAGTCGTGTCCGACTCTTTTATGACCCCGTGGACTATAGCCCACCAGGCTACTCCGTCCATGGGATTCTCCAGGCAAGAGTACTGGAGTGGGTTGCCATTTCCATGGAGAAGACGGTACTAAAATGGCAGAGCCTAACCAATGAAGAGAGACTATTTTCAGTCATATGTAGTAAGACCTGATTTACAAGGAAAAGGAACAATCCAGTTTTTATGAATTCCAGAAAGCTCTAAACCTTCTTTATGTTCAGAATCAGATAATAATTACCCAAACATTTATCACTGGTTTTGAAACGTATATGTCCAGCTTATTATTGGCCTTCATGGCACAAATCAGAACTGAATTTAAACTGACTGACTCTGGAAATTTTATATAACTCTTCTGCTTTACAGAGTAGAGATGCTCTTGAGAAAGTCCTTATCAAAACAGACCATATATGGACATTTATTAGAACCCATGATAAGTCCTTTGTTAAGGTGATGAGATATTTTGAAAATGAATAACTGCTTAGTAATTGATGTTTATTTAGTGTATTTTAAAACCTTTCATTTATTCAAAGTAAGAGTATGTCTTTGAATACATATGATCATGTAGATGCAATGAGTTTTTAACAGAATGGTACGCTTATTCATTCAGACATTAGGAATCATCGAAACTGCTTTATTTCTATTTATCAAGGAAGTCTGTCCTCTGCTTTTTTGGAATATCTTTGTAAAACTACCTTCAGCCGTGTAAACACTCATAGGGACTTCCCTGGCTGTCCAGTGGTTAGATTAGACACTTCCACTGTAAGGGGCATGGGTTCAATCCCTGGTCAGGGAACTTAAGATCCTGCATGCCCATGCAGTGCAGTAAAAAAAATAAAAAGAAAAAAAAGTGAGTCTTTAAAAAAAAAAAAGCACTCATAACGTAATTCAACCTCTATCAAGGTATTTATTACAATAAAAAATCAAGATAAGTATATGGATGAAATTGATGTCTTCTGCCAGCCTCTCCCCTGCCCCTGTGATGCATTTACACATTTCCTCAGACTTCCTTAAATCCAAATGTGACATCAAAATTCCTTGGAGTTCTTGATACAGCTGCAGATTCTTGAGCCCTTCCTCAAAAAGGCATTTCTCCACTAGATTTCATACGAAGCAAGTCTAAACATCCCAGTAGAAAAACAGTCTTCCTATAAACCAAAGTGCCGGCTTCTCTACAGACACATCACAGTGACCCAGGGGTACATCCTGGCCAGGCCTCTTTGGAAGCTCATTACCATCTTTGGGACCTTCAGTAGGAGAGCTCCCTTCTCCAAAAACCTGAGACATTCCAGACATGCAAAATGACTTGTCCCCTGAGAATCACAAAACTTCAGTACTGGAAGGGCCCCAGGATTCATCTAGTATAAGTCCCTTCCAATTTTCCATTTATTTATACCGTGCTTACTAGACAAAGGATTGGAGGTGCAGTGTACAAAAATGTGTACACTAAAATATTAAATATGAGAAATCATAACATGCTAAGAAAGGGAAAAATAAAAGTTAGAACATAAGGTCAAAATAAGGAAGGAAAATGGTCTCAAGCTATCAAGCCAAGGCTCCCGCAGAGTTCCTTAATAAATAAAGCTTTGAATTTGACTTGAGTTTCCTGGCAGTTCAAGCAGAGAGGAAAGCATGCTGGTGAGCTGATTCTTGTCTCCTGTGTGGAAGAGACTCTCACTTATAGAGAAAGAAACTCCATCCCAGGGAAGTAAGAGGGCTCTCTGGTTAGTACAAGACACCATTCTCCTAAGTCCCAGACTAGTGTCGACCCTGCGTCAGCTTCAGATATGTATGTTTGAGGACTGTAATCACAGAGGCTTTCCCAAGTCTCTTGTGAGTTCTTTGTCTGTTCTTTAAACTTAAGTATCAGCAGCAAGCTCAGAATCAGCAAACCCTGAAAGCCTCTTTCCTTCTGCCAAGGGCTGGCCCAGTTTTGAGAGTCACTGTGAGGACTCCCCCGACCCACGCCTCGCAATCTTCCTCTTTTTCATTCTCTCTCAATCAGGCAACTAACTGACCGAGAGGTGAGATACAATCATGGCAAAAGAGCTTTTCAAAATTCTCTCCTTCCTGTCTCATTCCATGGATAAGACGGTCTTCAGGAAACTTGACTTAAAATAGTTCTTCTGTATCCTCAGTTTAAACTGAGTCCCTTTTGTTGGTATTCAGTCCCTCAGTCATGTCCAGCTGTTTGCAACCCCACGGACTGCAGCATGCCAGCTTCCCTGTCCTTCACTATCTCCTGGAGTTTGCTCAAACTAATGTCCACTGAGTCGATGATGCCACCCACCCATCTCATCCTCTCACCACCTTCTCCTCTTGCCCTCAATCTTTCCCAGCATCAGAGTCTTTTCCAATGAGTCAGCTCTTTGCATCAGGCGGCCAAAGTATTGGAGCTTCAGCTTCAGCATCAGTCTTTCCAATGGATATTCAGGGCTGATTTCCTTTAGGATTAACTGGTTTTATCTCCTTGCTGTCCAAGGGACTCTCAAGAGTCTTCTCCAGCACCACAGTTCTAAAGCATCAATTCTTTGGCACTCAGTCTTCTTTATGGTCCAACTCCCACATCTTGACAAATTTAGGACAGTCAGAAGTAAAATAAACTGACAGTCTTAATTTCCTATGTCTTATCTTTCCTTAATGTTCTGTCATCAGAACAGGAAGCTGCAGCTTTGCCTCCACCCACCGAGCAGTGCCTTTATTAATAGCCAATGTCTTTAAAACAAAACAAAACAAAACAAAACTCTGTTTTGCTGTATTTCTGTCACCCAATGGTCACATATAGTGATCCTGGTTATCCTTAATGTTGAACAACTTTTCTCACAATGGACTCATTCTCAGAAATACTGCCCTTCAAGATGGCCTTCTTAGAGAAGATGCTTTCCACCAAGGCCCTAGGCATTCTCAGAAGGCCACACAAGGCCTGGGGAAGAAACTGGGCCTCTAGCTTCAAGCCCTGGGACTTCCTTAATGTATTAACACATCTTCTGTTCAGATTAAGACGTGAGCTATTTTAGGAAAAAGCCATTTGACGTTCTGAAATAGTAGAAAATGCTATTTTTAAAATTTCTCTGTTCTCCAGGTCACTGAAAAATGACTACAGATCCTTCTCTTGCTTCTGGATGTGACTCGGGAAAAGGAGTGAGCATGCAAATAAAGAG